AGAGATTCCGTGGATGAGCAAGTCCGTTCATTTAGTTCATCGCTTGGTGATTGATTTTCTGTTTGATCAGCGGTGGTTTCTTTGTATTTATTGGGATGTGCTTGGGTGTTTGTGTGTGTGGCCGTATTCGCAAGCCTCAAGCGGCTTGGTGAGAGAGGTGCCAAAGAGTGGTAAACCAATCTTCACTGGAAGCTGAATGCCTCTAAGACTCTAAGACCTGGGTGAGTATTTGCCCGACCTTTTAGCCTTTTAGCCATCAAAGTATGACAGTCCATGCTGAACATGAGCTCTCAGCCCCACCTTCGACTGCAGGACTTAGTGCTGGTGCGCCTGGCTTGTCTGGCACGAGTTCAGGAGCTGTGGTCGATCCATCCAACTGACTTAGCTGCTGAATGAAATGGTTGGCATTTCAATTGCTCTTTTGGTCCTCATAGTGTTTCCCTAGGCCCTAACTTGGTGAATTGCGTTGTGATGAGACTAACGACATGGGCCTTTGTCCAATGTCCATCTGAGAGGTGGCCGTGTCACCCTTGAACCTTTTAATTGCATTAAACTCGCTGCCACCAATACTGCACCCAGCCACTAAAACGCGACAGATCAAAAGATAAAAAACGTCAACCATTCGCTTCCAGGGGCAGATCGCTTCGTTCTGAATGCCTGGCAAGCCTGGCGCATCAGGACCAGAAAGGCTATGAATCCTTGCGCTTTGCTTGGCTGGGTTTGGGCAAACGCGAGCGTACCTCCTTGACCGACCACTTCCTGGCAGACGGTGTGGAGGACCTGGACAATGGCCCAAATGATGTTCCTTCAATGTCCTCAAGTGCATTTTGCACGAAAGAAATCGAAAGAACATGGAAACTGATTTGTTCAGAACGTCCCTGAAACTGTTGCCTGTCACTCGTAATTATAAGTTCACAAAGAGCAGCAAGCGCATGGACATCCTTTTATGCTACTACAGATTCTACAGGTTGGGATTTCAAGGTTTTGCCAAGGCGGGCACGTTTGAGCTCAACATCAAACCTCTAACATGCTTTTGGAAATTGGCTCCCTACCTGAACGGGCGTTTTTATTGCTCAGGAGCTGGCCTTCGTGCTGGAGTTTCTGCCCAATTGTGTCGCCAACGCCAAGGCGGCAGCACCCAACGCGGTCAAGATGTATCGCACGTCCCAGAAAGACAAATAAGACAACATATTATAAAGATTTATTGATTAATTACATCAGTTTACAGTAGCTTGGTCATGCTGATCCTTATTTTGGCAGCCTCAACAGATTGTGAACTGACGTCAACTTCATTTTGAAGCCTGATGCTCACGACATGTTTACTTAGGGAGTGGGCTTAACTTTAGGTTAAAATCACATGTTATTGTTCTATCATTAAGCTTAAAATTTAACATGTCTTCAACGTTTGTCTCACATGAAACACTTTATCCTTTTGATGTGCCCCGAAAGCTGCCGGCCACGTGTGGCATCGTGTATGGCGTTTGTATGGCGGCCATTGTAGGCGTTTATTGCCTTGGATGAACTCCATTGAACTCCATGCCACGTAGAGCGCCATGTTCCGTGCCCCGTGCGCCGTGTAGAGCCGGAGGCCAACCCATTGATTGGTCTCACCTGCCTGCTCGATGTCCTCACCGACCTGCTGGCAACCCTGCGAACCAAGGCCACTGGTGCCGAGCACGGACTGGCCCTTGCTTGGCATCATTCACGCAAGCATTGTTTTTAATCATCATTCAGCATTCACCTTCTATTGAAGTGCAGGTGGCAACTATGCCAAAGCAGCCAAAGGCAAGGATATGCAAGGATGCGAGATTCAGAAGGGAGGGCACTTGAGTGACATGTTTTGAAATCTTTTTTTTCCTTGAGCCTAGTTGGCAACAACAGTGCTCAGAGTATTGACCAGTGGTTTGAACATGGCAGTCGAAGTGCGCTCGCTTTCTTTGCCTTTTCCAAGTGCGAGGACTACTACAACAAAGATCAAAGATGTAAAGATTGACATTCATTTTGCAACAATCAGATCCACTGTCGCCAGTCATTGTCAAGCTCATGCCATGTCTCATGATAATAGCATCGAAAGTGAAATGTTTTAACAGCATGGAGGCAGTGCGACACGACATCGTTTTTGATCAATTCAGCGTTGAACGTCAGCCACCTACTGCATAATGTTAGAATGTGTTAGACATTGACATTTCTCCACATATCTGTGATAGTTTCAATCCAGTCGATCCCAATGTGGCCACGCCTCTTTTCCTCGCCTCCCGCAGTTGTTGCCGGTGGACCTGTCGGACATGGGGGAGTTCATCTCAGCTGTGCGGAATCGCTTTGTGTTCACCACTTGCATCTCCCGGTGCCAGCTGAAGTTTGCTCAACAGACCCTTGCCTCACAGTGAAGTAGGTCGTGCTTTGGATGCTGGCATGAGTTGAATGGCTTTTCACGATGAGGCTCAAGAAAGAGCCTGCTAGTTTGCACTTGTCAAGGGACATGGCATGGAGCAAAGTATGAGAAGAGTAACCGCATTCACTCCGTGTGTGAGTTGAAATGGTGCTATCAATCTAGCACACTGGAGCAGGCCATATGAGGACGGCCAGGTGCCCTGTTTTTCTTTTATGTTTTGACCTGAGTGGTTGCACAGGAGAGTGCGTGTGGAGATGACTGGTGGTCGCTCGCCGACACACAAGCAACAGTTTAAGATGGACGCGTTTGGCCATCAAGCGTTTGGTCATTAAACATGATCGAAAATGATGAGCATCCAGCCAATGTTGTTGTTTAATAGTTCTCCTCTTGCCTTCCGAAGGGCATATCGAAAGGCCTACACTGCATGCCCCAATACTTGATAGATTTTGACAGTAATTGAAGAGTTTAGCATACTTGGATAAGACCCTTGTCTTCGAATTCTCAAGGTTGCTGCCTATCGTCGTTTTGTGCTTGTCTACGTGTGAAGATATGAAGTGCATGCTGTTATTGCATATAACATAAAAACACTTTATTCGAGATGTACATGGTGGAAAGCACATTCTGTATAGTGCCAGTGGGCCAAGCAAGCTATGAACATCATCCATTGCGTAGTTGCCAATGGCGGATGGGCTGGGCAAGAGGATGTTCAAATAGAGCCAAGGGAAAAGAGTTGCACCTGGTGCCCGGCTTGTGTTCAGCATGCTTGCGGTTCTTGAGGCAACTGGGGTCGAGCCAACGACCGCGATTCAGATCTTACCAGCATAGCATACACAATTCAGGACCGGTTTTAGCTTGGAAGCGCTATATAGGTCGCTAGGTTCAACAACCTCACGCTGACATGGGTCTTGCAGTGGCCCTAGGAGAAGCAAGATTTGTTGGTTTGGCTTTCTTTTCAAATCCCTTGCGCCGGTGACGTCCATAGGATCTGGTCATGAAGCAGGAGAAGGTTCAAGAGCCTTGGCCACTGTTGCTGGTTGCAACCAGTTGAGCTTGCAGCATGTCCATTCCAGAGTGGAACTTCTCGAAACTCAGGACATGTTTTGCCTTTGCTGTTAATTACTGTAATGGTTCTGTGATGGGTTGTTGGTGTCTTTTAACCCTCATGCTTGGCATCATTCAACACCAACTAACTTAGCGTAATACTAGCTAGCTTTCAATTGATTGATTTGTTTGGAGCACCAAGGATCACTTCTCGTGGCTTGGCTTCAGCAGTTGTTGAAGTATTTGTTGGTTCTCAGTAGTTTTCTGGTTTTGCTGCTCAACCAGTTGATGGAGAGGGCGGGAAAACAGATTCACAGTAACAGTATTGAATGGTATATAAACGGCATATATAAGATCATGTCTACATCCGCCTGCATGAATATGAATGTCAAATGTGTCCCTCATTGAGCTCCACATGGGCAATTGTCAGGCAAGGATGCCAAGAGAGTTGATGACATGACAAGCACTACGATGTCAGGCGGTTTGGGTTGTCGGTTGTGGGAGGGAAATTGGAGACTCCCCCATTCTGAGAACTCTTTGTAGGACTAGTGAAGTGGACAAAGAAAGGAATTAACTGGCATGTGTTGGAGTGGCTGAGGCGAACCTAAGGATGCGCATTTCCTTCGTTGCTGCAAAACAGCAAACCTTCGTTGCCTTCCGTCCATCCATCTTGAGGCTGGCACGACCTGTTGAAGAGAGACCTCAGGCGACCTCAGGCCGGTGAAAGTGACACAGCCTGTCCGCAACGCCGGTGACACACCGCAAGACCGGCCTAAAGAAAAGAAGACATAATGCGGTGCATCATACGGCAGCATCATACTTCAGACTGTCAGAACAGCCGGCCTCAGAGGGTCCGAGAGTCACATCCGAGCGTTTCACGGATGACATGGGGAACCGCTCTCAGAACTCGAGCGATTTCGAGCCCACAAGGGGCAGGCCATGTCTACAGACGACCTGTTGCCGAAGAGACGCATGCGTCGCTTCACTCGTGACCAGCCTGAAAAATTCAGCCGTGTCCGAGATGCGTCGAAGCTTGACCAAATTAGACAACAATCCATGGAGATGCATGGAGCACAATTGAGCACTGCACCAATAGCAACAGGATGAGGCATAGCAAAGAGAGTCAAGAGCCCAACACTTGTATATCAAAAATAATTGCATAACACCCCAGACGCCACCGAACCGACGCGAAGGTCACAACAACGCGAACGTTTCACTGTAGAAGATTTCCCTGAATTTTTTTCTGGTTCAATTCTTGACCCTGGCTGCGAGCGCTTTCACGGCATCCGCCTGCCGGCTCTCACCTACTTGGGGACCTAGCTTTGTTGGCACAATCAATGCAGCCAGGGGTGATTTCGGAGCCTGTGCATTGTGCCGCAGAAAAAAAAGGTGTCGACAGGCAACTTTGAGTTTGCTATGGCGGGGACGTATGCTGGGACATCAAAATGAAACAAGAAATGCTACGAACACAGAGCATGAAGGCGTATTGCTACTTGTGATCGGCCTTCACACATTTTTGAATCATTTTTGTATGTGCGTTGTTGTTTCATCGAATCATCATTTTGAGGCCTTGCGCTGGGGGTTTGGTATGTGGTGGCCGGAAGCAGAATGAGATCATTCGAGCAGTGGAGGAATGGCTATAAGCTTGTCAAGCCTTTCCGAGCCGCAACCTTTGCCTTACTAAAGTTACTAAAGAATGCCCTACAGTCTACACTTCCTACCATGGCACAACACAACCGTGATGCTGATGATGGTGTTCCTCCAGCAGACAGGTGCTTTGTTAGTTGACTTGCTTGCTGCTTTGCTTACTGTGTCTTGCTTTGTTTACGGTTGAGGAGACCTTCGATGGTGAATGCCTCAGCACCAGATCGATGCAGCAGATGGTTGAAGAGATGGTTGAAGTAATGAGATTCCCAGCTGGCCATAGACTGGAAAGTGCAAATACTGTATATGTTTTACAATTCCTGATCTCAATTCCTTGACTGTTTGGTTTCCGGTTTTCTTTAGTAGTGTTATTCTTTGGGCTATTGTGGTTGCTATGTTTTGTTGTGGTGTTATTCTTTGGGTTGCTTTCATTGCTATATTCTTATTCTGGCAGCTGTTTTTCTGCTCTTATTTGCTGGGTCGGTTTCCTTGGCTGGCTGAACCTAGCTCAAGCTAGGCTGTTAAGATTGGAGCAAAGGCTTTTGCGGGACCAAGCTTTGCATGTTGGCCCAGCCTTGCTTTTCGTGTCTCCTGTACGCCACCTAAGCTCTACAGCATGTGGCATTGTGGCACACCAGCACACTACAACCCATTTTTTTCCTCAGAGCTGGCAAGGGCAAGCTCAAGGAGCGGTGATATCCTCAGTGAGGTGAAATAGACCATCACACTGCAGCAAGTGGCCACTGAGCATCAATTTAGGAGGAAGTGAGGAAACGAGGGGATTGAAACTGAACCGGCAAATAATACATATTTGCAGTATCCCTGCATAGGTTCTCCAAACCTGTTCACTGTCCCTGCAGTGACGCTGCTAGTGAGGGCTATTGACTGCTGTATTCCACAGGCTTGGGTGCATGTCCTTGTGTCCGAGTTGATATGGATTCTCGGCATCAAGAAACTTCACCTGCTGGCGAAGGGACTTCATCATTTTCTCGTCCATATCACCGATGACAAGTGATTTGATTGCTGTGACCATGTTGATCTCTGTGATCAGCAACTTTGCCTGTCGCACTTTTCCCTGCAGAAGTTCCTTGATACTCTGATCCATGGTCACGAAGGACTCATTGATCTCACCCTCTTCCCAACAGCATTCGCTCCACTTCTCTGCTGCAGACATCTCCTTCATGAAAGAACTAGAGAAGACGACTCGACCCATAGGAAACAGCAAAACAACAATTAACCTGGGACGATTTAAAACCTCTAACGTCATACTTCACAATTGCAATTGTGAAAGTGTGCCTTCAGGAATTCCTCTGGGTACTTCATCAGCCCAGCAGGGTCGAGCTTAACTTGGGATGCGGCATCAACGAGCTTGTAGAAGGATGCATCATTCGGCACATCAGCCCTCCAGTTTTTGTCCCCGTTGACATGGAAACCATGGCATTGTTTCTCCATGTCATTTGCCATTTGGCTCAGTGTGCGCGATAGCCAATCAAGTCTTCGAACAAGGAGTTGGAGGCTTCCATCAGGGCCAAACACTTTTTATGTTCTTCCATGTTTACCATGATGAGCTTCACCCGTGGATTGTCTGAAACCATTGGGTTCTCATCCCCAATGTCTCTCAGCAAAGCAATTTTTTGGCCCTTCAAGGGTTTCATCAACTCACGCAGCTTCTTGGGAGATCGGTGCAAGAAACCAAGTAGTAAGTAGTTCTTCTGCTTGTCCTCCTGCAACCTGTCCTGAACTGACTTTCCCAGGTGCTCCAACTTGTTCAAGGTTGTCCGCATGAAGACACCGTTGGAGATGATTTGAGAATAGGATTCCAGGAGTTGCACCTACCCTTCCCCTTTGCTCAACTCCTTAAAGCGCTTGAAGCAAGGCATTGCAGCCTTGAGCTCTTCAACGGGTGAAGATGGCAACAAAGCCTGCAAGGTAACAGGTAGACACACAGAGGACTCTGCAGAAACTCTTGGTACTGCCCCCCTCATCAACTTGTGCCACAATTGCATCACCAACCATATCTCCTGACTCCTGACCATTCAACTGACTGGTGAGCAACATGCAGGATAGCGATGGAAAGTACCCAATATTTAGTAAATCTAGTATTTAGTATGTACACCAAATGCACAAATGCATAGTAATTTGGAATCATTGGAATCAAAGTTGAACCCAAGTATAGAATCAAAACCCACCCTGACCTGGTAGGGCTGAAGGGGGGGCAGAAGCCACCCCGAATAATGCATATCCATGTCGATGAGTGAAAGCCGCAGCCTCCCCAATCTTCTTGAATCGTTCTTTCTGGCAAGGAGGCAGTTGACGGTACTCAGCAGCCAGCTCCTGCATCCCGTTTGCTGCAAGCTGTTGACCTTTGCACTTCACATGAATAAATGCTCTCCATGCTCCTCCTCCTCCTCCTTCTCGACGTGCTTTCTTTTTGGGATTCACCCTGTGAATGCTCCTTTGTTTCTGAGTTTCGCCGTGCAGTCTACAGAGGAACCGGCAAGCAACTGATTCAAGATATAGCGGCCCTAGCCAACCAGCATATTGTCTGGGCATGCCTGCTCTCAATCTCGGCTATGTCGCAGTCAAGCATGGCTGCAATAGATTCCAAGATGGCTAAACACTCTGCACTTGTGATGTTCTCGGGCTCAGGACACTTTTCAAGCAGAACAGTGGAAAGCCAGTCTCGCATGCATGCCGGCCGACATGCAATCTCCTTTGAGTGTTCTGCGCTTTTCTTTGTATCCAGCACTTTGAACAATAGGTATGGCATGTTCTCACGCGTTAGCCATATGAGGCTTTGAACAGCGCATACTGCACAAATCTCAGGCTCCTGAGATGCAGGTTGTCTTGCTCCAATGGTGGCACAGCCCTCATGGTTGTATGTAGCTTTGCAAGCACCTGGCAGCAAAGCAAGGTCATCACACACTTGACTGGCGCAATGTCCAGCACAGTCACTAAAGTCACTAAACAAATTTAAGCACGACTACATGTCTAGCTTGAACACCCTCCAATGACTCTAATGAAAACAGAACAGGGGACCACCAGAGTGCGTATTTTATGTGTTTTTGCTGCCTACTTCCATCTATGTGCTATAAGCTTCCCACTGTGGCCTGCATTCATGCTATGTGTTTGTGAAAGCTGCCTCAATGTCCTTTGCACTGGAAAACAAACACAAACAGTCTCGAGAAAATATAGAGAAAAAAACACATTGAAAACACAAAAAAACATATAAAAACACATTTACAAAAAAATACAAAAACTTGAGAAAACAAAAGACGATTCTTAGAGACTCTTGGCTGGACCCCCCCCTTTCCTCAAGACTTCCCCAGAATTGTTTCTTTTGTTTTCCCAAGGTTTTATGTTTTTTTTTGCTTTTCCTAGATTATTATTGGGTTTCTCAAGGTTTTTTGTGTTTTTGGTTTTCCTATTTAGATCAATCTGTGTTCTTACTATTTCGTTCAACCTTCAAGTATGCGAGCCTAAGTCTCACCTAAAGGCATATGTTCTTTGCTCTTACAATGAAAGCGTCTGAGCCCACCACTCCCTTTGTCCTTGTCGAAATCTCCATGTACAAGTCTGTGCATTAACTTCTGATTGGTATCAATGTGGTTGCCAATTGCATGTCGAATCAGCTTGACATGAAACTGTAATGATACCTTCCAATTTACATGAAATTGTTATGAATCTGTGTAAGCTGTAGTTCTAATTCAATGCTTTTGCTTTTGCTTCGGCTTTGTAATTTCGAAGCCTCCTCGACTTGTGCATCTTGTAGCTCAAGCGTTTTACATCTTATTCTGGCGAACTTCTAATTTTAATTCCAATTCCTTTCTAATTCAACTCTCATCTAATTTTAAATAGGTTATAGTTATAGTTCAATACAAGTTTAGTTGAAATTTGGTTTTAATTCAGTTCTATCTGAGCTCTAACTCAAATCCAATTTAATGTTACCTAATTCTATTCTAGCTCTAGTCTATTTAGTTTAAGAAAACGCATGCTACAAAACCCCGTGTTTTACAGTATTTTTTGCCCTGGGAGTGCTGGGAACAAGACAAAAATTCTTTTTTGAAGTATATAGTTAGATTTTTATTCACAGTAATCACTGGAAATAATATACATATATTAGAATTGTTTTATGTACAAGCTTCTAATTCAAGAGCTTCCCTCTAGATCTCTGGGGATGAGCATTTCTACAATAAAAATATATAAAAGCTTTCATTTCAAAAGCTTTCCTCTGGATCTCTGGAAATGGTCATGTCAATTTAAACATGCTATATATCAATAAATATGTTATTCTTTCAAGAGCTTTCATTTCATGAAAACACACATATCACGAAAGCTAGCACCAGCTAGCTGGAGTTGTCCTTGCTTTAGCAAGTGAGGGGCTGGAATCCTCGGGATCGCCGCATCACGTGAAAACTTCATATGTAGGGGGGGGGCCCCCCCCC